TGACTTGTGGACAAGTGATTGCTTGCTCTTTTTCTCTCTATTTGCGCTAACGGTGTTTACAATGGCAGAGGACGCAACGGCGGCCTCTCGGTGGACCCTTGCAGCAATCTCTGCTTATGTAACCGATGTTCTGGGAGGCTTAGTCTCGACAAGAGATATCTGAGCTACAGGTACCAAGGGTTGGTGTTTGGCTGCTTCATCCTTGTTAATACTAGATGTCAGGTCTAGTGGAATTTGCTTAACCAGACGTTTTGAATGGTGCCTGGTTTTCGTTGCTGTGAGTACTGATTGATTCACGTAGGTACAGTCTGTTTTCGCCCGGCGTTCTACCAAAGTTGGAGAAGACAACGGAGATGGAGAAGTGGCTGATTGCGGTGCAGGGGAAGCGGATTGTTCAGCATTCCGTTGCTTAGCAGCCGCTACGCTTCTGTGGCCCATACTCACTTCCATTGAAGTAAGCTTATTGTGGATCCTCTGCTCTGCTTCTGCGATTAACCGGTCGCATTTCTCAGCTAGGATAAGCAAGCACTTAACGACAGGGATGGTGGAACACGCAGTACAGAACCAAAATGCATCTTGGGAGCTATTTCGCTCCCGTAACTGTTGTTGGGACACATTTGCACATCTCGTATGGTACCATTCCAAACAGTGCGAACAAGCCAGACCGACTTGTACTACCCGATGACATTCTCCTAACCCGCAAATGCCTTTCGATGGGAGTCTCTTCGGTTTCGCCTTTCTGCCATTCAATTTGGTGTCGTCACCTGACCCAGTGGGTTGGTTAGCGTTCTGTACTTTTACAGCTTTGAGAGCGGCGCACATCGGTCAGACGAGCGTGGTGGTTGCAAGGTCAAATGAGCGGTCGGCGTGGTCGCGCGGTCCGTGTGATGGGTAATGCAGCCGCACTGGCTGACAAGGTCACAAGGAATGGCGAGTGACTGCAACCTGAACAGAGCGCTGAACACAGATTCTTTCACAGCTGTGTTGAGAAACACTGGATCGGAGTAAGCTTAGGCTTTTCGGCCTGCCTCGAGAATTCTGTATCGAATGGNNG